AAAACTGTCTGAATTTTTAATTTTTTTTGTAAAATTTTTTGAAAAAATTTTTATTTTTAATTTCTTTATTTATCTTTCATTTATAATTCTACAAGTATATTTTTTAGTAAAAGAAATTGTTTATACTTTAAGTTTATGAAATAAATATCTTATAGTAAGATATTTTAGTCTTTAAAATTTGTTTCTTAAATAAATTTTTTAAAGAATTCAAATTTCTATAGATTAAAAAAGCTTTTATAATAACAATTAATTGTATTGTGATTATTTCGTCATTAATAAATTTTATAAAGATTAATATTTTGTAATTTATTTATTCTTAAAAAAATTTCTCTATAAAAATCTTATAAATATTTAAGAAATACCTATTTCACTATAAACAACATAATCTATTATTTTTTCTAAATTGTATAAGTAAATTAAATTATTATTGTATTTTTTAATAGGAATTAAATACTCAGTCTTTTTATATTAATTCATTATTTGTAACAATACAATTAATTTAAAAGTTTGTTTTAATTCTTTAAGTATTAAAATACGTTTTTAAACAGCTTTTTTATTTTTAAATGTCACAAACTAAATGAAATTTTAATAACATTTTTTTTAAAAACTAGTATTTATAAATCTTTTTTTATATTTAATTTAATTATTTTTCTAACTGTCTTGTGTAGTAGAATTATTATTATTTAATTTATTTAATTGTTTATTATTACTGTCTTTTTCCAAAAAATATGAGTTTAAAAATTTAAAATTTTCTATAAAAAGTAATAAATCATAATGTATTTACACTTAATATCTTACAAGACAGTAACAATTCTATTTTAACTTTCAAAATTCTTTAAATTGATATTTAAGAAAACAAACTATCTGTTAATGTATTTATTAGTACATTGTTTAATTAGAAATTAAATAAACTTTTATATTTTAATAAAATATGACAAACAAAAAGTTTATTCTAAAAAATTTTTTAATTTATACTTTTTATACATAAACATTAAAACAAATAAATATTACTGTTGTGATAAAAACAACAACTATGATAATAGCTTTAAGTTATTATCATAACTTGGAAATTT